TGTAAGTCACTTCCAGTCTCATCCAGCCATTTTGTAATGGAATCTCCAAAGCCTGTTAAATCGATTGCACTTTCGGCTTTATCCTTTATCCATTCAGTTGGATCGTATTTTTATTTTCCATCTCGTTTTCTGGTCTTGTTTCATTAACCAACAGTATTGGATTTGTAGGTTTACCTAGTTTCTCTGATAATCGACAATAAAATCCCACTCCGACTCCAATACAATAACTAATAACGTTGAATAAATTCTCCAACATTGATATTCTTAAAATAACTTTGTCGGCCAATGTACTCACTTTTTCATTGTTATTCCCTAGTTTGATGTCTAAATCACCAAACTTGAGAATATCTGGTATTTGCAAACGTGTGATTAGTAAAATGCAAGTTTTTACGATGTTTTCATAGGAATTCTGGGATCCGATTCCGTCCTCCCTTATGTAGCCTACCTAAAACACAACAATGTCCACAAACAAACTCGAAAAACCGAACAAACTCGATGAGCTAAAAAATTGTGTAATAAAACCCACATAGATAATTAGTCATGTAACGTTGACTATTGATAGGCTGTTCGGTAACCAAAAGTCATTAAGTAGTCAAAACGAGAAGCAAAAAAAATCCTGAAAGAAAACCACAATTAATGTAAATGGCTGGGCTAACACAATTGACATGTCTTTATAAGATGGTTCAAACGAAAAGTCCTGAAAACATAAGTCCTCATTACTAATCGTGGTAGTAATCGTCCTCAATACACACACAAATAATATACACTTTAAATAATGTTAACTTACAATTACAGTACCAAAAATGAATTCAAAACAAGAATGTAAGAGTGTTGCACTGTAAGGGTGATTTTTGCTTTGTGGAATGACATATTATAATTTTTAATGCGATGCAAGTATATGCTATACGTTTTACTATGCGATATCACTTACTGTGATATGCGATGCATATGTGATGTTTAAAGTGCGTGACGGATCTATTCAAGTCCACGTGGACTCCGCCATATCTGGGACAGTTTCGACATCTTGATGGCTTAAACGACCCTTTTGTCGCCCTACTCCGACAACGACAACATCCATTTTATTAATCTCCTCGCTTCTCAAGACATTTTGAGTGAAGGTACCAACACTTTTTGATTGAAGGTAACAAAAGATAATATCGGGATTATATCTAAAGAAGTACCGTACGTAATAAGCTCCATATTCCCCAAAAACCACTGAAAAATCAATACAAGATTAGGACTAATGAAAAACAAGATACAATTTTTATCGGTAGATAAATGATTTGTATCATTAGGCTACGGTGGGCCTATGACGTTAAATGTAATTTAGGATAACCTCACTAAAATTTGAGGGTTCATGTTTAATGTTTATACATTACAAAATAGTTTTCTATATTTTTAAAAGTATATTTCGTACTAGGGACCGAAAGTTATACTTTATGGTCTGGAGAAATGCTAGGATTATGCAAACGAGGTTAGAGGCGAAACACAAAACTACACAATAAACACTACAATAAAAATAGAATGAAACAATCCAATCGGGCAAAATTAGTCAACCAACAAACATAACAGCAGTATAAGAACGAATGTTATTGTTCCTAAATAAACAACAATACAAATAAATGCTAGTAGGTAGTAGTTCGAATTTGGTAACAATTATCAGTGTTATTTACACTGATTAGGTAACTGCTGATTTTCGATCATCGGGTGGAAAGTAGTGTTTTTTGGCCAACTCCTTTTATGGTGAAACTAAAAAACTTCTAATGAAGCAATTTTTTATTTTTTTTATTTTAGTCTATTATGTACCTTTTTGAAAATATATTGAAAGTAAGTTCATGCAAAAGCTTTAAAACTGCTTTTAACGCACCACCCTGCAGGGATAGGGAGAGAGTGGATACAACACAGACTACTTTCCATTTGGCAACAGAATGATAAATTTTATTTATTTCATTTTATTTGTTTGTTTATTACTTTCACTTTATACAAATATTATTTCACAAAAGCTTAACCAACCAACAAAGCTTAAGATTTGTTTGTTTTATGTAATAAAACTATAAGGCTTTGTTATTGAATTTGTGAGACTATGGTAAACCAATTTTCATTTTTTGTATAAAATTCAATTCGTTCTTAGACCTACTTTCCAATAACGTTAAAATGAATAATCAATGTCATGACGAATATGATAGGTCAGAAGTTACATGTATTGAATGATCAACCTGATCGTGTTTTACTGTGCAAATTATAAACACAATTTGATTGCATGAGTTATACAAATTGTTACCGTATGTAAAACCAATTTGGACAAACTTAAGTAAACAGATTTCTTAAACATACTATAGCCTACAGAGTAATTATGGACAACTCAATTACACTTTAACAATTAATTCTTTTCTGTAGTTAGCTTGAGTGATATGCCTCAATACTTCATGTTTCCAAAACATGAAGTATTTATTTCCTGAAAACAAAATTACCTAGCCTATTCTTTTGTTCTAGTATTTAATACTTTTCTTTTGAAAATTAATAAGTAAAAAATACATTGTTGAGGCACTGTTGTTATTGTCTACTTTGGATAGCAAGTATAACAAAGCAGCATTAGAAAAACATTCTAGATAGTTTTGAATATTAAAAGACGCTAGGCAGTGTGTAGGAGTGACAAGGGTGGCTGTTTTGTTACTTACCCGGGGCTCTGTTGGCTTGAATGATAAGTATTTCATCACAGATTCATTATATACAGTGTCAGTAGTTCCAGTTTATCAAAACTTGTATTTTTAGAGAATTTCCCATGTAGGGAATAACCTATTATCTATATATTGATAGCCATGTTGTGTCTGTTAGCATGATAACTTGAGTAGGGGTTTTAGATGAAATTTGGTACAATAAGTGTGTAAACCTACGTGAACCAGCATGATCGGACTGTGAGAACGGGGTTTTATGGGGTGAGATTGAGTTTATTCCTTGTTTACCATCAAAACATGGAATTTAAAAATTTATCCAAACCATAGAGCTTAAGAAACAAATAACTTAGTACCTACCTTGAAGTGCTTTTTTTTACAGTAATTAGTTACATAAAATTTTCAAAAAATGTAAGTTTTAAATTCTTTTGTTATTTTGTTGGTGAATAAGTAAACTGTTACATGATATACTTTGATTGACTTGCTAATTTTTTTCATACAAAGCTATTAACATAAAAAAACACTCTACTACCCTCCCTGTAGGAGAAAACCTAAATACTTGTTAACTTGTATAAAACTCGAAATAAATCTGACATTTTTAAGGAGATATTTTATTTTCAATCCAATCAAGCAAATGGAAATTTGCTTAGTTTGCAGATTCGCTACTGCAAGGTATTTTATTTAACATTACTGTTCGGATTATTTTAAAGACTCCATAAAATATTTTTTTCTTCGTATATAAAACTACCTTTTATCAGCAGTATGCGACTTCAACTTTGTGATGATTCAGAACCTAGCAACATACTCACTCGTAAACCGCTACTTCCTTCCTACTTGATGCTCTCTTATTAGAAGAATTATGAGTCTCTATATTCCAGTCTGATCTAGTACAACTGCTACCAGGAATTAAGCAGAGAAGCAGGTTAAACTAGAACTTGGAAAGAGTTGACTCACTGAATGTCTCACTTAGGCATAATAGCCCAGAATAAAGTGCTAATAGTTTATCCACACAAACAATACTTGTTAAGGAATTAATTTATGTGCTTCAGCATAGATGTATATAAATAAAGGGAGGATGGTTTGCAGATTAAATTTCAACTTCTTACTATTGCTATTATTTTATGGCTTGTTATCCTATCCTATATTATAATACGAGCTATGTCTGTTTGTCTGTCTGTAATATATATCTCGAAATCCAGTGTAAGGATTTTGATTAAATTTTGGAATCGGGGATTTATGGGCCTAAAACACGATTGACGACAGCCACTACCTCAGGAAAATTCGTAATTCACTATACAACTCATTTGAAAATTTAGAAATTTAAAATTGGCCTTATGGATTGCCAACTAACTATGTTGCTTGAACAAAATAACAAGGAAAAAGAAAACAAAAGAGTTGTCAGACGTGTTTATAACAAGCCATCCACAGTATACCACGAATACTAGAAAAATACCGGTAAAAGATAAACAAATGACGTTGTTGACCCGAATCGTATACTAATAGCTAATAGCATTTAACATATGTTATGGCAGTTCCATTTAAGCAATGTTAAATAATGTTTATTTTCGGGCCAAAAACGTCATTTGTTTATGTTTATGATCCATACCGATATTTTTCTAGTAATTGTGCAGTATACTATAGCAAATTACAAAATACAGTACAAAGGGATTTTAGTTCAATTGCATTCTTTTACATTACAGAGTTAATATTATTTCAGCAATCAAAAATCTATGGTTTGTAATAATAAATTTTGTTATAAATCATACCATGTATGTTTACGATATTGTTTTAGCAAAAACGCAATTCACCACAACTGAGCAAGGCTTGGTCTCCTGGTACTAAAAGCATAATAACCACCAGCTTTCTATAGTACTATAATCAACATCACAAGTTACTGAACACACTTTTTCAGTAAGTTTCCAGTTTGTTGAACATTATAAGAATATGTTATGTGGTTTCTGTGTATATGGCTGTATGTACTTCCAATATGTTTGTTCTGAATTAGGCAAAAACAACAGAAGCGATTGGACTGAAACTTTACACTATTGTAGATTGTGTGTCTGGCTAACACATAGCTGGTTGATGTTCTTAAAATCTTGTTGGGTTTTGACTCATGGAGATCTTTATTTAAACATGGGGCTTTTGTATGTATTCTTTAATTAGTCTCCAAGGCAAAAAAATAATTACAATGAGTACATATTATGTTCAATTTTTATTGTTTTATTTTATTAAGAAAATAATTTTATCCTGCCATGTGTTACTGTTAGGCTTTGTTTCCAAGATTTAATTTTAGAAAAACTAGTTGGTGATTATAACAGTATATTTCAGTTCATATTACGAAACAGAATTTTTAGGAGAAAGCTTCTCTGTATTCAGTATTGAACCGACAACTTTTCTCCTTGTTTAGGGTTGCGTCCCAGTAATGACGTAGACACTCTTTCTTGCCATACCCGGTGATATTACCCTGAAATAATGCTACATTTATAAAATTTTACTCTATTAGTTGCAATCTTATATTTTAACTATGGATATAATACATAAGCATGCTTCAGAGTAGCACAAATTTGTTTATTCTGGGGGTATGTTGCAATTCAATGGAAACCAAATGTTTTTTTTTACATGTGAACCAACTGAGCAGAACATATATAAATACAAATGTCAGTTAATTGTGCTGGGAACTACTTTCTTTTAAGTATTGTTTATTGAATTCCATTTAACCTTTCATTCATCTAAAAAAAAAAAAACATTATGCATAGTCCATGCAAATGAAGACATTTTCAGCGCATTGACATTGACATTGACAGCACACCCACAGTCAACAGCCAAATTGTCTTGACAACTTTTCGATTGTCCACCCAACTCCAGCCAGACAGTCGGCCAAGAAAAAGTCTCTCGTGTGCGGTAGGCCTTAAGAAAATAATTTTTTTTCAGGTGTACCTACCTACAAAGTATTTATTTCTTAAAGTTATAAAAGTATGTGTTCAGAATCTTATTATTTTTTTAAAATAATGTTAAAGGGTTTTGAAATACTCACATAGTCCCCAGATACAAAGTCTCTAACTCTACAACGAAATGCAAGGTCGTATATGGTCACCATACTATTTTCTCCATCTTGTGTATCCATTGTGCCCTGTTGAGATTTATTTTGTTGAAACATATGCTTAAAGTTATAGGTATGAGTATCATTGATTTTTTTAGTGAACTACATCTTCAATCAATTCATATATTATACCGGGTGTCCCATAAGTAAACAACCAAACTCCGGGAAATGGTTCTATATAGTTCAAAATAGAGATAAAATCAAGAATGACATAAACATTTTTTTTCATTATATTGTTCCAACCGATCCTTATGAAGCTTAGTATATGTTAAGGAAGAAGAGAACTAAAATAGAAAAAATTTACATGGTCCAATTCAAAATTTTAAAATGGTGGCCATTTTAATTATATAATTTAAGTTATTTAAAAACTACTGATTTTCTAAAAAAAAATTCACGAACACTTTTATTTAGGATTTATAATTGTCTATCAAACGACTCCAAGTTCAAAAAGATTGAATAACAAATAGCTGAAATATCCTGATTTTTATTTGTAAAATAAGGCGAAATAAATTGCACCCTTTCCTACTGCCTTATTTTACAACTAAAAATCTTGAGATCCATTTACTTATCCTGCCAAATTGCTATTTCACATTTTAAGCCTCCTTGATCTGTATAAACCACAAAAAATGTTGCATGTTGTGAATGGACGTACAACAAGTTCTACCTCATCTAACAGACACTGCCGACACTGGCCCGGTCCTTTAATAGATCCACACAAACTAATAACAGTTGTGGCCAGTATTACATAAGTTCTGCATGATCTCCAACAAGTTTCACACGGACTATACTACGTGTTATAAACCATTTGTTAAAAAAGTTCTACATGATCTACCGATACTAATTGTCGAGGCGACTTGTCAAATAGGCTTCACAAGAACTTCTGTTGTAGCCAAATATACTTCCTCCACCTCACTGATAAGTATTACCATGTATCCTAGTTTTCCAGGTCTCCGATCGCAATACCTTAAATCTGATCATTGACTGTTTTTGTTTAACTAAGCAAAAGTTTAACTAAGCATATGGCAAACCCACACCTCTATCTCTTTTTTACAGCTTCATCAATTCTTACATTCTACCCTAACTTTTTTCATTTCATAAGTGATTCCTTTTGGCTATAAGAATCCATTCAAGTTGGCCTACCATGTTACGTATTCGGTTGGTCCACAAGTCCTGAGAGTTCTGATCACCTTTTAGGCATCTGTAGTCCTTGTTGTAAGTTGTTTCGAAAACCATCGTTCCCCCTTCCCCCAAGTGGCCTGGGCCTAATCGCTCTGCTTCCCAGTTACCCACCAACACCTTACTGTTGTACCCATAGTTGATCGAGCCTGTTGACATTTCAAAATTGATGTGAAAGAATCAAGTATACAAATTGTTTAAATCTTCTTATTTCCTCTAAGGAGTTATTTAAATGTTCTTGAACACACTTTAGTTTAATATAATAATTTGCTAACTAACTAATGTACTAAATTGAAAACTTATTAAATCAAATGTTATCAAGGAAAACAAAAATTAGAATCTACTAAACAATAATTAGACCAGTACTTTTGTGTGAAGGGGAAAATTGGATCCTGAGCAAAAACACTGAAAAGAAGATTATAACCTTTGAGAATAAAGTTCTAAGAGCTATATATGGTCCAGTGTGTGAAGATGGTTAATGGAGAATCTGCCACAACCAAGAGTTAAGAGAATCATTCAAAGACAGATTTGTAAAGACAGAAGATTGTATAGGAAAGGCAAAAGCAGAAGGCTAAGGTGGGTTGGCCATATCTTGAGCAGAAATGAGGAGAGCTTGTTGAAGAAGGTACTTAAGGGAAGATCCGAGGGGAAGGAAACCAGTAGGAAGGCCAGGTGGTGGGATCAAGTCCGGAAAGATATGGATAAAATGAGACTGGTATAAGAAGATTCGGAGGGCCCAAAGAACTGGCTACAACGTGTTGGCGAGGCCAAGTACCAGCTTGGGAACAAGTTAGTGGCCATGGCTGTAAGTAAGTATAATCATTTGCTAGACACTAGATTATTTACTACAGTAAACCTTAGCCAAATATAAATAATGTATGAATACACTAAACTCTTACAGCTATCTACTATCTAGTAAGCATAATTATTCTAAATAATTTGATTTATAGATTCTTATATTTAAATTTACTTTGATAAATATTTGCTTTACCTGATGAGCAAATCTTACTAATATTATAGGTAAATGTGAAAGTTTGTGTGTTTGTTTGTTTGTTTGTTTGTTTGTTTGAAGGTCAATCACGCATTAACTACTGGACGGATTGGGCTGAAAATTGGCATGATGATAGCTCACATTTCGGATTAACATATAGACATATTCTTATCTCAAAAATCCTTTCGGGCTCCACCCCAGTGGCTCTGTAGTTCCCCATGTTAACCTTATGATTATTCATATTTAAAGGGAATTAAATAATTTAGTCAGCTGTTTCAACTTAGAAAGTTGGTTCTATGGTATGCAAAAGCATTAAAAGTTGTAAGATTTACCAACAGGGTGCAGCACTATTACTTTTTTGCATTTATGGAAACAGCTAATTTGAACTAAGCAACAACTAAAACCTATGATAGGTATGTAATGAGAACTGTCGAAGTAGGATTGTTTACAATTACTTTTATGTTTTTAATTTCATGAATCATTTGTGATATTTTGTGAATCTTTAATAGTTTATTTTCCTCTATTGTTTAGGTGAAGTGGTAGAATATTATGGCTATGGTAGATGTGTAATACTATAGTATACAGTAAATTTAAAGAAGCAAATTTTATCAAATCGCGTCCTCCCCCATTGCAAACGCAAAGCTTGAGTATAACTGCAATAAGCATTTTATACTTATATGCCAATCCCGTACGAAGGACGGGTGCTCTGCTAGTGTAATATAAATTTGGGATGATATTCATTTGAAGGTTAAAAGGACATTTTAAAGACTCTACATGATCACCTGCATCAGCATTGACTAAACGTCAGTGTTAAAGCTTAAGATTAACAGCATTACAAAATAAAATTGGATTGTAAGATAAAAAAGAAGTAATTTTTTACACAGTATACCGGTTGTTTTCTCATAATCTGTTGTGTTGATGCCTAGTTTTTTGCAAAGGTAGGGCATTTCAAGTAGCTTAAGAGACCGGGGAGTGTAGTTCATTTTGAATTGATTTTTTTATCTATCTTAAAATATATACAGAACGGTAGGAACTATAGAATATGTTTTATAATTTATTCAATTTTTATACAATTAATATTTACTTATTGCTCTGCTAAAATTTTCATTGTCAAGGAAACTAATGATTCAACTGATGTTAAAATTAAAATTAAATTATGTAACGGAAGGAAGATTTTGGGGACTATTTTTTAAATTTGTTATTTAATATTATTAAATTTGTAATTTATTAATTTGTATTTTTGTGATTTAATTTTTTTTATTGGTATATCCACACCAATAGCATGGCATTTATAAAAATGTTGTAAGGGAACAGTTTGTTATTTTGTCAGGTATAATTAATTGATTACCCTATGACAAATGGCATCTGGATCCATGAACATCGATTTCGCTTGGAATAAAACCAGCGACCTTCAGATTTGAAGGGGAGCACTAGAACCACTACTCGACTAACTGAACGATTTGGTTCTTAAGGAATTTTTGGGACTTATCACCATTCTACATAGATTTGTTAACTAAATAGTATAATGTAAGATGCACTAAGCAAGGGGACTAAGAATGTTATACTATCACAATCTTCTAAAAACAAAATAGGCATTGCTTTTTCCTTAAAGTGTAATTTCTTGCATAAGGTTTCACAGATTTCTTACCAAATAACAAGGAGAACTAAGAGTGTATATGAGGCGTTAAAAACTTTCTTTTATAAAATATTGTGCACAGATTTAAAACATCCTTGTCTCTTCTACGGTTCTTTGTTTTTCTATAAATATGAGAATAATGCATTACAATCAACACTGTAAATACATCAGAAATCACACACAGTACAAAAAGACTTAGCTTACAAGATAACTGTGTACAATTCTTTGCTGTATGTTTAAAGTCTAGTTTGTGTACGATGATAAGGAATGTTCTGGAGAGCACAAAGTTATTTATCAAATAACAAATGGACTTCCAATAAACAAGGATGATCAATATAATCAAAATCAACAGCCAAAGTAGGGAGTGCCAAAAGGACAACATAGTGTAGAAGAAAACTTCAAATATGTTTCCAAAGCGCCAGGTTTTTATAAACATACAAGGTATCATTATTACAAGCATCATAATCAAAACCTGAATAAGGTACATATTCGTAGTAAGGTGTGAATAATCAAAATATTCTTCTTTATCTCTTCTTGTGTAAGCTTCCATACAATCTTTCATGTACTTTATGTTCTTTACGTACAGAACTGCACAATAGACACTCAAACACACAATTAACATTTGGAAAAGATTCCAAAAATTAACGATGACATTTTTAATTCCTCTTCTATTGAACACCAGAATAACACGAAAAATAAAAGTGAGTAAGCTCACCAGAAGAATGAAATCGATGGCAGGATAGGTGTACTCTTGACTTATTGTGTGAACGTAGAAGCGATTGAGTAAGTTTCCGATGTACAGTCGTTCTGTGACTGCCGCGACCGTACTTAGTGTACCTGTGTTGGGATTGTATAGTGTCATTTCAAAATGTACTTCTGATGTTAGTTTGTCAAACCAGTTCTCGATGCTTAGATAGTTGATTACATCTTCTGTAGCAGCCTGAGTCAGCCCCAAGTCAGCTGTGTACCCTCCTGGGGATTGTTTGTAGTCCCAAGGTGATCCCAGGACAAACTTGTCATAGCTTCCCGTAGTCCTCCACCTATCACAGTACAGAGCCTTGTCCTCCGTCCCATCGGACAGTTTATTGGGACACAACTCTGGCAGGCCTCTGTAAACATTAGCTCTACACAGCCCGGGTGTTTGTCGCCGTTGTCGTAGTCTTGGCAGTCCTAGTAGACTGTTGGCCCAGCTGAGCGAACTAGTTCGTGAAACTTCTGAAGAGTTTGTTTCACCCATCTGTAGACTGTTGTACCACTTTGGCATGTAAATCTTGGGGATGATCTTCCTCTCTAAAAATGGAAGATAGTCGGATATATTAGTAATTCGATGTAATTGAAAATGATCTTCTTCACATGTTTTTTTCAAAAAGTGTTTGAGGGGTAAATTATTCCAGTAATATCTAGTCGTCCACAGCGTACTGCTTTGAACGATTAACAACATCGCAAGAGCTCCGACCACAATCACGTCCAATAACATCCACATTTCATCTTTTCTCTGTTGTCTTTCTTGCTTTTTCGAAAACTCCTTAAAGTTCAATGGAGCATAAACAGAACTGCTCCTTAAAAAAATCAATTTTTCCAAAAGGACGTGTTTGGTTTTCAGCAAATGCCTTTTGTAGTTTACAATCGTTTTCCAATCTATGTCATATTTAGTAACTTGGTATATTTTTGCAAACAATATACCAGAAAGAACCGCTACCGTAACTATCTTCGTGGGTGATACAACAAACAATTCTTCTGCAAGAGTCATTATAGTACAGCTAAGCCATTCCAAGCTCTTTACTTTACCAAATTTTAATCCGTATAATGTGACTAAAATGGCAGAGGAAACTATTATAATTATACAAAATGACCAAGCAAACACTTCATAACAAATTGTTTTTCGTGAGCGCTTTTTGACAGTTTTAAGAACATCAACCTGTAAATGAACTGGTATGAACTTTTTTTTCGATACCAACCTAAAAACAGCTTGAGTCATTCTTAATAATATTCCAGTTTTTACAGCTTCTCTGTCTTTATACCTGGAAGCCTTTTGACCATCTTCAGACTCCACTAACTGCTCACTATTCAAGTTATCGATTGGGACAATAACCAAGTGTTTTCTGAACAAAGATGTTACAGTATTTGTTATAATAGAGGATACTATCATACTGTAGACACTTATTAATAGTTCCCTTTCTTCTATGTTGTACCGTGAGTAATCCTCTAGTTGTTGATCAAAGACTTTATAGAACATGCAGCTAGTTAGCATAGCAGCAAAAAGTCCGCAGAAAGCCAAAGACAAACGTTGGGACGAGGTGACACTACTGCGAGGGTGTTTTGATATTACGCTGGCCCAGAGATGCGACTCTCGAAAACCATAAATCAAATTGTCACTTGCTACATCATCCCGATAGCTATCCTCTAGCGTTGTGACCTTCTCAAACCTTTCAACATGATCATTCCATCTCAACGAAAACCAAGAGTTGATAAGGAATGTGTAATCTTTCTTTTCTGTAAGGTCAACAACAATAATTTTATTACAATACCATTCAGGTCTGTGGCCAGAATAATCGACCCAAACATGTATCAGTCTGATTTCTCCTAGGTGAGAAGGAGTAAACATCACAAACCAGTTGTCATTTGCTCTTTCTAACGCTTTGAACTTGGTACTCTTCAAAACGTGCGGCCTACTAACTGACAAATCGCCTTCAACCATTATTCCCACATTTGATGTTGTCCCTGCAAACATACGAGCACCTGTATGAACACACACAAGGTAAGGGTATTTGTCAAAAGGTAAGTTATCTTCAAGGTATATCGCACATTGTTTATATTTGTCTCTTCGATCCTTTCTCACAGCGTAAATCAGAATGATGAAATACATGATCAAAATGCATACTATAAAGACAACTACAAAAGGATTGTCTATAACACTAAGGAATAGTTTGTAATCTTCACATAAATTTATAGTATTTATAGGTACACCAGCGAACCCAGCAAAACTGGAAAGGTGTTCACATTCACAGATCAACTGATTAGAGTCAGGGAGAATATCTTTGACGTCGCAGCCTCTAGAAGTCCATCCTTTGTAATGCCAACTAACACAGCGCAATATGGTTATCTCAAAACTGTAATTCATTGATTCGCCTGCTTGAATGTGTTGACCTGGGATAATGCCCAAGTAATACAAATCATAAACATCCTCGGAGGTTGGATCTAAGAGCTCTTTTTCATATTCAGAAGCAAATTGTGTCACATTTAGACCCTTTTCCCTAATTAGAATATAATCTGGACGACGGTTATACAGAGCTAGTACTTTGATTGATTCACCTTCTTTCAACCCTAGAAATCTGAGTTTCAATCTTCCTCTTTCTTCTACTCTTATTTTGTGAATGGCTACTGCTATATCAGCTGATTCCAGCGAGGCGTTTGAACCCAGGTGTTTCACAGTTCCATTGATGATTACAGTTTCTAACTCTCCGTAGTCAAGGTTTATTTGAACTGGATAATGCAGTTGGGTTACATATTCTTCGCTCTTGTCTCTTACCAAACTTAATTTAAGATCTACAACGTTTGTATTTATAACTAATTTTTTAAACCACCAGAAAGGGTTCTTATCAAAAACAACAACTTGTACTGTAACTAAATTCGACAAATGGTTCAGGTAGTTTGCAAGACTCTTTGAAACTGTTATGTGAGGTATAGATTCACTTGAAGTTTTGTTAAACGATAATTTACTGAAGGAGTGAGGTGAATCCTCTTTCAACCATATCTTTATGTGTTTCCCTTCCACAATGAATGGTTGCATGAACGGCAACATTCTTTGCTTTAAAGACGACATAACTGTTTCAATAGCATGGAAATTATTTTCCGTGCTTTCTCTAAAACTGGTGTAAAATTCATCATCGACTAAGTCAGTTTTGCTTAAATATATTCGACTACAGATATTTATCATGGATTGTCCCAGTTTTAAAGTCTCTGAGGAAGTGAAGTCATGAAATATTTCACTGCTTGATGTAAAGTAATAGTTCAATTTGTCTGACAGTTTCACCGCTATTTTACTGAGCTGTAACACACTAGATGGTGTCAACTCAATTCGTTCTCCATCGGTGGCTAGAAGATCCATTGCCAAAGTCCACATTTTCATGTTCGTAAAACTACAAACTTTTTCCATTTTCGCTGCGACTAGTAGGCTCTCAATGATGGTGGATGCTGTTGGAAACTTTTCTATTTCATGAATAATAAGATCGGCAACAGCTGATATGACATTAGCTTTATAGTCTGGGTCCATTGTGGTGTCATAAAATAGAAAATCATCAGCCAAATTTTTAACCACTTCAGTAGTATCAGTTATTTGACTTACATCTAATTTAGTTTCACTAGAAGCCATAACACCATATTGGTTAGTCACTTCAACAACCAACTTCCCTCTTATAAAAGTAACATGAGATAGAACATTT